CCCCCCCCCCCCCCCGCCGCTCTCTATACCACCAAAATGCGATTCTACAAAGCTTGCGGTTACTTTTACAGTACGCGGCGGTGAGGTGCGGCGGTCAGTGCGCGAGTCGACGTATCAAGGTCTAGACTCTTCCAAACGGTTTGTTAAGTCTCTGGTTAGAGAAAAGCCTGCAGTAACTAAGCGTTTGAAACCCCCCTCCTCTCTTGGACTCCAAAAAACTGAGAACGGTAGGACAACTGCAATGTGCTGAATTTGCTAAAAACCTATTTATCGCAATTACGAGACAAACTGCCAATGTGTGATACCCAAAGAACCAGAGACCTCAAAACAGAAAAAAGTGTTTGTAGAGGAACTTCAAAAGATTCACAGAATACAAGTTCCAGCATTATGACAAGAAAAGTAATAATTTTTAAAAATGCACAGATCACTGTCAGCTAAACTGACTGCTCTTATCGGCGGTTCCTTAGCAATGCAACAGTGGTTAGTTACACGGAATATTCCTCGAAGTATCACTCCAAAAGTTAAAAGCGACTTAAATCGCTGTATAATAAAAGGTAAAAAAGAAATAGACGAATTTCCACAACAAGAAAACAACGATTTAAACTAAACAATTTTATAATTTATTGACAACAAGAAACGTTGTTTACACAAGGTCAAGATCAAATAGAAACTGAATTTGATATAAAATTAGTCGTGGAAAAAAAGAAATGATATTTATGATTACATTGAGAATGAAACTGGATACGAGCCAATAATAGAGACCCGAATATTTTTTTAAATAGGACTCAAAAATCAAATCAATTGAATCAAAGACACGATTATTCGGATGCTAGACGAAGACACGACTCTGGGAGAAAAAATCAGAACCATTTTTGTGAACAGGGCATTACGATAGCGAGTATTTTGGGGGATTTTAGTTAAGCTATAAGTACCATTGTATCTTCTGTTAGTGTTATAGAGACACTGGGACCCGGCCTGAGTCTCCAAATCCTGGCCCTTCAAAAGTTAAAGAGTGGTTGCAAAGACAGCTGCAAACTTAGCCCCCAAAACTCGGTGTAAGCGCGTTGGGCACTTTGCCCGGGGTAAGCGTGCTAAGTCGGGTGTTTAACGTGCTGAGTAAGTCGGTCAGTTGGTTGGTTGGCTGATCATGCGTGGGCTTTGGTTTTGGGGGTGGGCGCCTTGGTTTTAGTTACATGCATAGAAATCCTTAAATGGTAGCCCAAAAATGAGAAAAAATATTTTCAAGAAGATATTATGAGAGGAAAGGATGTTATGAAAATGGAGTTGGTGTGTGACGGGTCTAATTATTTCTGTAAAGAGTGTAAAGTTGGTAACACTTTTTCGTTAGCGTAAGTTGTAGGTCTTACAAAAAGATGATAATAAAAACGTTAATTGACCCCGTTCGAGATCTACGAGGTCTGTCTTAAAGTCCTATCGACTCAAAGGTAGTAGAATCCATTGGCTGATGGGTAACCCTAGAGCAAAGTCAGAGTTAATGTCGGGTTCAGAATCAATTTCAGGGAAAAGGTATGTGTTCAACGCGGGTTGATATCCCGTTCGCATATTGTTTGTCGCAGTTTGCAAATTGTTGTTGTGATCATCAGAGGTTCCAACAACCCTAAGATAGAACCTTGAAACTGGTGCTTTGTTCTAATCGCGTTCCCAGTGTATCAAACTTTTTAAACTTAATTATTCTTGAGCATAGGACTAAACGTAGGCCCTGATCAATTCGTTGATCTTTGTCATGCACATGTCGGTAAAACTCGAAGTTTGGGAAATGAAGTCCCACCAAGCGTTTGTGACGGTAGAAGTACTCGAGTATCCGGATCCCAGGCGACTCAGCAAAACCAAATCCCATGTAAGTAGCTCTAGTATTAGCATGGAGGAAGGACACAGCAGGAGTTTGAACTGCCGGGCTACAACATCTGGCCAATTACCGCTTTCTTGCATGCCCGGTACGTCCCTAGCCAGAGCGCAGCGTTTCACAACCGTAAGCCCCCTTTGTACCCCATGATCGTCGCAACAATTTTTTTTATTGGTAATCTGCATCCTTAAAACGTTGTGTACTGCAGTATAGGAAGTTGAATATTCATGCCATCGTTGGTGCTTGGTATGATCTGACAACAATATCAAATTTAATGCTTTCGCAGTTGCTTGTATTAGGCTGTGTGCCGTAAGTGTTCATGTGCAGTTATCGCCCTTATCGACCGCTTTCGTCTGGAGTTGTTTTGGGAATAAATAGCGAAGTTGTTTATGAGATATTGTGTTTTATTTGAATCATTTTTATTACTGAATTTACACAAAAGGTATTTTATGAGGTTTCATGATCACTCCTTGTGATGAAACAGCGCATTTTGTTTTTCGTGAACTTAACTGTCCTGTGGTGGTCAACATGTTGTTGGCCAAATTTGTAGAAAGACTTTGAAAGCTGGTGCTTAAGAGTGACAAAATAAAATTACAAATATTGCATGGATAATGGAAAGTGCATCAAAGTCTTTTAAAAATATTAATGACAGCGAAGTAAATTTAGTGCTAGATATTGTTCTTTCTGTTTCTTTGTCATTGCGAAAAGTTGCAGTTAAATGCAAACAAACTCCACAAATATTACAAGGATATTACTGGTCCCACTTGTATAGCTAAGCTGCAGGCAGTAATCAGGCATTGTTGGAATGTTTACTATTGTTTGTCTGGCGTAGTTTTTACTCAGAGCGGAAACGTAGCCTCCTTGGTAAAAAAAAAAGAGAGCAGAGGCAAGTGCTGCGAGCTAATAAAAAGCGCAACGAGCAAGAGGGATTTTTTCTTCTAGCCGGCGGCAAGCGAGGAGACAGCAATTAGACAGCCAAAAATCTTGAAATGATTCCCCTGTGTACCTACATGTAGGTACAGAGGTATGGTCTTGAACCCACTGATTTCCCTTAGTGTGTCTCTTTATAGAGTGTGGAATACATGGGATGCATAGATCGATCTGAAGGGACTTTTGCATCAATATACTGTGATATTTTTACTTCAAAGATGTCAATAAAATTTCGGGTCATTGAAGGACACAAGGAAAGTTGGCTCACTGGGCTAGCTGCCTAAAGGCTTAGGTGAAAATTAGTCTTTAAGACATTTTCCATCCTCAAGATGTTGATACATTCATCAGTTCCAGAGTCATTTGAAACATTTTCTGTTCTTGGAGATGTATAAACTCCAAAACAGAAGAAAAACTTTGCATACCAAGAATAAGGCCTTTTGTTTTGTGAGCGAAATGAAGAGATAAATCCGTTCTTTTACGTTTGCTTCAGTTTTATTCTAATTTTAATACTTTTGAATATTGAATTTTTGTACAAATCACCTTGGTCGTTTGCATGAACGTGTTTTTAAGTGTGTATAATATTTGTAGTTTTGTTTCCTTTACCTCGTTTCCTTTATTTTTGGTATTTTTGTGCAGTGATCAATTTTTCTTTTGAGTTTTGGCTGTAGCTTGGTTGAATGTTACTTTGTAACCTTTGTATGTGTTTGATTTTATTTTCAAAAAGATGAACTGTTGTTGTATAGGCATACAACTCCATTTACATAAGCTGTTTAACTCCAGTTTTTAATAAATCAATTAATTTCTAATGTCTTGTATTTGCAAGGCTATTGTCTCGTGTTCCGTAAGCACCCAACCAAGCCCTGAATACCTTATATATTACATGTATGTGAGCGCCCGACATTATAAAAACCAAACATCTAATGGAAAATGATTATCGTAGAACTTTTCAAGTGGTAGGTCAGACATTTTACTAAGTTATTGTCCATATTTACACGTGTTATGTCACGCACTCTGTATTCACAAAGCTGAAGAGATAAAGTTTGTGCTAGGCAAAGTTTGCAGGGTCCAAAATGGGCGTAGCGCGTACTTTGACCCTGATACAGTTGTACACAAACTGTGACGGCTTTTTGGCTTCCTTGTCATTTACAGAAGTCAGCCAATCGAACCGCCATAGACCCCAGAGGCTTCTGTTTTCATGGAAGTTTCTGTTCTATGACGAAATTTGACGAGAACAAATCAAAAGCCAGGTAAGCTGGAATTAATCATTGAACTTAGTGAATGTTGCAATTAGGAGCCTCAACAATTTCAGCCTAACTCAAATATTAATCATTGAAAGGTTGTTATATCTGGACATTATTATGAAACTGGTGTGTTCCTAAAATCACTGCAGCTAGTGTGCAATGGTTTTATTGCAGTGTATTACTGTTTTTCAGCAAGCGTTCCTTGGGTATGAGCACTTCATGCGGGTGCAGTATTAGGGATACGTTTCCTGAATAGATAAATAACACTCTTCTGAAGACGAATTTCATATTAATCCATTATGTCAAGGACAATGGATGAGGAACTGCAGATTCGTGCTAAGAATGCGAGAGGTGAAGCTGAGCTTATTTTTGCACGAATCATGGAGGAAGTACAAAAAAGGAGTCTGAACTGTCCAGGCTATAATATCTGGCCAATTACCACTTTCTGGCATGTCCAGCATGTCCATAGCCAGAGCGCAGCGAATGCTTGCGACGCACCACCTGTTTCACAACCACAAGCCCCTTTTTTGTACCCCAGGATTATTGCAACAATTTTTCGCAATCTACACCCTTAAAACGTTGTGTACTGCAGTATAGAGACTTGACTATTCCTGCCATGGTTAATGCTTAGTATGATCTGACAACATCAAATGAATGCTTGCGCAGTTGCTTGTATAAGGCTGTATGCCTTTTAATAGTGTTCTTGTGCAGTCATTGCCCTTATCGAACGCTTTCTTCTAAAGTCATTTTGGTAATAAATAGCTGAGTTCTTTATAAGATATTTGATTTTATTTGAATCATGTTCATTACGGTATTTATTACAAAAAGTATGAACTTAAGTGTCCCGTGGTGGTCAACAGTCAAAGACAAATTCATACAAAGACTTTTAAACCTGGTGTTTTGGAGATACGAAATAACATTACAAACATTGCATGGATAATGGAACAGTGTATCAATATAATAAAGGTTTATTCACAATGGCAAAAGTAGATCTAATGTTAGACATTTTCACTCTCTACTTCCTGGTCACGACTATACATTGTAGTTAATTGCAAACAAAACACACTAAATATTGCTAGGATATACTGGCTCCACTTGTATGGCTAAGCTACAGGCAGTAATCGGGCATTTTCGGAATGTTAATTGTTGTTTGTCTAACCGGGTGGCGATGCTGATTGAGCACTTTCGAAGTGTCAGAGTTGTTACCTCCTGTGTCTTTCCTCCATGGTGGAACACTGACAGTAATCGTGTAGTCAACACCGTCAGTACTGGATACATACTCTCTTCCTCTTGCGCCTTGCAGTCATTATTACGTGTTTTTCATTGCAGCTAAACTTATCAGACTAAAAACTACCATAGGGTTCTTTGAAATCGGGGAATCAACTTCAGGAGAGTATTTGTGCAGTCAACACTCCGTGCTGGATGTCACTCAGCAGGACACCCTGGAAAGGGTTCATAGGCGTTTTGATCGATATGCCTTAATCTTCCTAGAAGAAGTTCTAATACCCTTGACAATGAAATAGATTAGACTGATAGGTGTATTCGGTTAGACTTCATTTTCTCTCAGTTGTGTTTGTTGTAAAATGTCTGTGCAACAAATTCGACATTCCCATTGGGGATTACCTTGTTCTTAATCCTAGACATACTGATAGTGTTAAATTTCACCTCCAGAGGGCGAGGGCTATTGCTGCTCATCATTCTCTATTTCACAGATCTCCTAGATTATGGGAGTCACTGCCAAGGTGTGTCAAAGATACACTTGTTTTGGTTATCCTCATTCATAAACTCGTTCGGAAACATCTGTTGATGCCTGGTTCACGAGTTGCTCTTACGGAAACTGTGTAGAGTTTATTGATACAAGTTTAACTCATTTTGGTGATGGGGGGTTGAACAATTTGTGATGAATTTGGTTGCAAGCTGCCATTCTTACAGGTATCGGTAACTCAGTCTGGTCTTTTTTTCAACGTTCATGCTCATGTGCTCTATATTATCTTCTGGGAGACCTGGTAAACTGTGTAATGTTGTAATGCATGTATTTTTGTATGATGCTATAACTGTTGCTTGGTTGATAGTTTTTTCATATTTGTGTTGTTTGCAAGTTTGTTTTCATTGTTGTTCTTGTTGTGGATGATGTGGTTGCGATTGTTGCTGTTGATGTTTTTGTTGTTGCGTTGTATTTTAGTACATGTGTGTGTGCTATTTGCAGCCAGGGTAGATGCTCACTTAAATGAGACAGGGATTAATCACTACCCTGTGTTTGTTTGTTTGTTTGTTGGGGTGTTGGGGTGTTTGTTTGTTTGTTTGTTTGTTTGTTTGTTTTGGTGGGTTGCTGGATGTTGGTGTCTTGTTTGTTTGTAGGGTGTTTATCTGATTGGCTAGTTGCTTGTTGGTTTGTCTGTTTGCCTGTTGTGGGTTTTGGTTTTTTCGGTAGTATAATATGTTGTTTGTTCGTTTCCTGTTTGCTATCCTTTTTGTTTTGTATTGCTTTGTTTTGGGTCAGTTTGTAGCACCGGGAGAGCAACTCGATAGTAATTAAGTTTGCTTTTTTTAACGATGTAGATTCTTAACTAAAACTATATTTTTGAGCTTCTTTTTTTTAAATTTTGTAAACTGTGTAAATTTTCTGTGTTTTAATCCTGCAAAATAAATAAATGAAAATGAAATGATATACACGTGTATTCTTTTCTCTTCCTCTTTCGCCAAGGATTCATTATAATACGTGTGCCGTTGTAACGAAACCTTCCGGACTAAAACCACCATAGGACTCTATGAAATTGAGGAATGCTATATCAACTTCATGAAAGTATGGTTAGCAGTTTGCGAACCACTTTACAAACCACTCAAAATGAGGTTCACTGATCTTTACGTGCTCTTATGTATAAATCATTCCGAAATGCCACCTTAACTACATATTGCTGTTTCATTTGAAGAATGAGCAACCTTTGATTCAAATTACAATGCAAATTTTGGAGTTAAATAATAACAATTAAGAATTTCTTTAAAGCGCACATATCCACTTAAAATTGCTTATAACGCTAAAAAGTTAACAAGAAAATGTAAAGGCTAAGATTATACAAGTGGATGTTGTAGTCTAACATGGAGACGCCGCACTGTGTGTTGCCAACATTGCACGCATAGCGTGCAACATTAACAGTTGGAAATATTTCTCACTGGAGTTTTTCTGGTGATATGCCCCGTATATATACATGTATTTACAACGGACATCAGTCATGATAATATACGATAAAGCCAAAAGTGCAATTCTTTTTAAAAGTGATATTAAGTAACTTTATGCACCATCGTAATTTAGTGTCCTGCAAAGCCAGTATCGATCCTTAATAAACCGTAAGCATTTTTGTCGATACCATTTAACCCCCGTGAATTCTATACTATTCGAATATCAACTCAACTTTTGGTAATGTAATGACTTGCTGTGACAGAGTAAAATCACACCGTAAAACAAATTGAAGTTCTTGAATCTGGCTTTAAAAAATGTTGGCAACTTGCCCGCTAATGAGCATCAGGATGGCCTTTAGTTCAGTGCTGGCTTCAACTTTATGTGTTTCAAATTCTTGGCTGAACTTCAGATGCAAGAATATCATGATTTTTTTAACAGGAAAAGAGGAAATTAACGAACTTCATTGCTCGAAAAAGGCTACTGCTGCATTAATTGACTGAATAACAAAAGAGTTACATCAGACATCTCGTTCTCATCACAAATGCTGTGGTGGCTTTCAGTATTTGGCCCTTGACAATGAGCAAAACCAAGCGGAGGGAATGAATATACGTTCCCCAACCATCCGGTTACAACTACATTGATCGAAACGAAGAGGGGGGCACGAGGGTAACGTCCTTGTCATTTCGAATCTACAATAAGAGTAGATTCGTTACAAATCTACAGTTTGCTGTAGATTCGTAAAATAATCTACACTTTGAACAAAGGTGTGACGTCACATAAATAGTTTAATACACAACAATCTTCAAAGGTCTCTTTTTCATTATTGTTGGGCCAAAGTGAGCAGGGATATGTAAAGTGTTTACCACGTTTTTTTTCTTACAGTGGTGGAGTAATTCACTGCTAAATGCAGTGTTTTTGCAAGGGTGCAAACGCGTACTGTGCCAGTGTGAAAACTTCCCATCGTTACTTTATTGTAACAGAATTTAAAATGATTCGCTGCTAATTACTTTTATTATTTCTGTAGGCCATCTCTTGTCAAAAACGTTCGTAAACTCAAGTAGAAAAATACAGCATGGAGAAAGACCCCATAGACAACACCTCCTTCCCCAAGGGGGAAAGGCATCAACTGTAGTCCTCTCATGGTTGTCTTCACCACTTTCACCGTTGGTATACTCATCACTGCAACGGCGTTGATGACTTACTACATCCCTCTTTCCTTGGAGGCCAACCCAACTAAGGCACCAGTTGATCCAACCATACCCCTCATGCGTGGTCGTCTGCCGAAAACAGTGCTGCCTCGCCTGTACCAACTCACTCTCCGCCCTTTCCTCTATGATGACGACGTGGCTGACTCGAAGCTTGGTAAGAGGTTCACCTTTGATGGCCTGTTGACGATAAGAGTGGAATGCATCGAACCAACGGATGAGATTACCCTTCACGCTAAGGACATTACATTTCATGCAAGTCCTACTATCCACAGTGTCAGCTCTTTGGATAAGACGACGGATCTCTTTGAGAGCTATGAGATAGTCGAGGAGTACGCGTTTATCGTCATCAAGTTGAAAAAAATAATGGATCCCCACCAAGAATACAGTATCTACATGGAGTACTCCGGTATCCTTGGAGATGATGAGGCAGGATTTTATCCCAGCAAGTATTATGATGCATCCAACAACACCAAGTTAGTTCAACGACTGTTTGGTTCGTAGTAAAGCAATAGTTCAAATAGAGCAAGTTTTTATACGAAAGCATCAAAGTGGTTCTCAGGGTGTAATACACACCAAGCACTTTAAGTAGCAAATATGCAAGTAACAAGTCATCAGCAAGTGAACCTAATACCTGCTCCTAATGTATATTCTTCTACTTTTCCTTTTTTCTTCTTGTTTTATGCGTCCGATAATGTATACAAATCCACCTAATAATTTTGCATTTCTCGTAAAAATCAGATACATCGCGACTACTCAGATGGAGGGGCCTTACGCCAGACGAGTACTTCCGTGCTTTGACGAACCAAGTTTCAAAGCAACATACGAAGTTCAGCTAGAACACCGTACTAATATGAAAGCGCTATCTAATGGCTTGGAAACAGGGACAGAAACAATAGATAGCCGCTGGTCAAAGACAAAATTCACAACAGTACACTTCATGCCGACGTATCTTCTGGCGTTTATAGTACATGACTACTCCAGCATCCAATTAACCAATACTAATGGCTGTTTGGTAAGCCAAAAAAGGACAAAAAAATTGTAAATAGATTCTAAGAAATAACATTTTGCATGCCAACAATTCACCAAAGAATAAAAACCATAACGCAAATAAACAAATCAATCGAAGAAACAAAGACATGCATGGCCTGACTCCAAACTACCATCCAACTTGGACAAAAATCTAATCAAATTCACCATTAATAGCTTCACTATTTTGTTTTTACAGATTCGTGTGTGGTGCCCGTCACATCAAATTTCATACGCTGACTATGCTCTTAATATCTCCAACTTGGTCCAGACATATTTTGACAGCTACTTAGATTATGAATATCCACTAGCTAAAGAAGGTAAAACTAATCAGTTTGGTTGTTCAGTTTCAATGATACCACATTCATATGTCATGAACATAGTCATCAATGTCAGCATGAGTAACTTTGGCCACCAGGGGCAGAACTCCGGTGTTGAGTCCTGCACAATATCCATCACAGGTACATCTCAGTCAATTTCATAAGTCCGAGTTGGATAGTTACCAAGAAATGGCTTTGTAATAATCAATAGGCAATTACAATTGTTTCGAATTTTATTTTAAAGATCAAATGACGAGCAGGGCACACAAAAATTCGGCTAGTATTTAGCTAAACTGCTATAAAATTAGGACCTTCGCATGTGAAGGGTTCTGTGTTGATACAACATTACCGACAAACTGCAGAAAGGATGAGTACTTTTATGTCCGCAATACCTGCCAGTGGTGTGCAAGGTCGATACATGATTACTTTAACCTTCGTCCTTCATTTTCATTCGCACTCTTGCAGATCACATAGCGATCCAGGATTTTGGCGCAGGAGCTATGGAAAACTGGGGTCTGATCACCTACCAAGATTTCTACCTGCTTCACGAACTGGATGATTCCGTATCGAAAACATTTTATTCACTTATTATCACACACGAGCTGGCACATATGGTAAATTATTTATCTGTGATGAAATATAGGTTCAAAGATTAAAGTTTTAGGAAATGGCATGGTACAGGCAGGCTCTATCATCCACGTCCATTCTTTATTTTGTATTATGGCTGCTATTAATATGTCAACTTTAGAGATAAAAACTATTCAAACAGTATTTAGGAAGTGCATGACCTTGTAATTCTGTGCAAGGAAAAATAATTAATGTTGATGAGAGCAATGGTAAGAATCATTTCATGACAGATGGAACTTTTCTCTCAGCGAAGAAAATTCCACCTGTCACCAGATAAAAAATTTTCTTCTTTTTTGCACATGTGTTAAGCATTTGTAATATTCTTGCATCGCCAACAAATTCAGATATCTCTTTGGTCCTGTAGAAGAATTACTGAAAACCGGGGCACCTTTGGGAACCTCGGGTAATTTTGGCATAAGCCACTCCCGTTGGTTGTAGTCGTCACATCTTCGCAATGTGCTATATGAATGATATAAGATTCTCTCAAATGATTCTATGAAAGTAATGTTATGGTCTGAAGGATGTTTCATGTGTAAAACTTTGTTATAATCTTTTTAATTTTTTGGCATTAAATTCCAGCAACCTGCCAAAGTTGCCCCGAACCACCCGGTAACTTTGCCAGCACTTATAGTTCAACTCTAACTAAAATTAAAAGAAGTTGATGCTTGCTTGCTACTATTAGATTAGACTTAAGGCTTCATATGACAAAAACGTCCAATCATCAATGAAAAATAAGTTCTATTTTTGGAAAACCAAAAACAACCAGGATTTAACCTACCGAAGCTACCCCAAGTTAACGGTAGTGTTTTGCATGTATCGTCCAAAAGGCCTTATGCGTTAAGGCAGACTCAGAGGCTATTCTTTGATATTTTAAAGTTAATTATAATGAATGCACAAAAGGTTTACTGGAGCGTATCCCGGAGGAAGAAAGCATGGCCATCTAACGTGACGTCATATGAATATGGTTTATATTTGAAAGAACCGTTCAGCCGTAGTGTACCGCCACCAATAGTGGTGTTGAAATTCCCCTCCCACGAGAGAACTTGCATTCATCTCACCAACCCCATCGGCTTATGTCATTCATAACATTTGAAGGGCCGAAATGACGAAAAACTCTTTCTTTCCTCCCTGAGGTAACTCGCATGCAAGACTCGTATTTCGTATACACGACTTTAGTCTCGAACTGACGGCATGTGCATCATAACTCGTTTCTGCATAACTTGCAAGTGAAACTCAAAGTAATCTCGTCATACTGCAGAAGAAATCAGCCAATCCCAGCGATCTGTAAGATCTGTTGACATGAATAATTCAATAGACGTGTCCTTGGGGCGCCGATCAGAATGGGGCCCCCTCAGAATTAGAGGGTAAAAATCTGATGTTAGAAGGCCTGGTCACTGACTAACCGAGTGCCCTCCAGAAAATGAGGGTCCTGAGTGGTTCTCTTCAGTATGTATCCCTATGGTACGCCAATCCTGATTGTTGAATAACTGTTTGCTCTCTAGTGGTTTGGTAACCTGGTGACCATGGAGTGGTGGAATGACCTGTGGCTTAACGAGGGCTTTGCGACCTACATGGAACACATCGGAATGAATCTTGTACACCCTGAGTTCCGAAGGGTTAGTAACCCGCTCTAGTTATTAACCAATATCTATGTCTGAACTTTACAAATGAAATTGTTATTGCTATAACAAGGAAACTTCTTGCTTAGTATCATACTTGCATACTTTATACTTAAAGTGCGTGCTTCCAAATGTCTATTCCTTCTCTCTGGAATAGAAACCATTTTTTTTCGAAAGAGTACATTCATTTACCTCCATCTCTTCTTTCATTTGCAGACTGAGACCTATTACGTCAACACTGTAGATAGAGCTTTGAAGCCTGATAGTCTCGGTACCATGCCATCCGTTCGGGCACCCGTCTACGCAAACGATAAACACATAAGTTCCCAATTTTCAAGAATAACGTATCAAAAGGTAAGGAAACAACAGCTTAAAGCAGGCAGAGATATTTACCATTTTTAAACAGTTATTTTGGAAATATTTTGACAACCCCTGGTTCAAAATCTAAACCAACATTTTTGAATAGTTATTGGTTTTTAACACAGTACTATTACAAACTCTGTAAAGATGCACAAACTGTCATTTCGCGCTGAATTCGGGCGATGATTTACTGGATATTTATAAATTCCTAAGAAAGTTTAGCCATTCCGACTGGCTGAGAGTCCTTCATGTGTCCTTGATACAGCACTGGCTGTATTAAAAGTTAAGGTCAAATTGCTGGACAAAATAGTTGGAAATGTATACTTTTTAAAAACTTGTTTTGACTTTCTGGCTTATATAAGGTAGTAATGAATAAGAATGGGCATGTGCTTGGCCGGTCTTGAGCGTTTGGTAAGACCAACATAGGAGAATAAATACAGTTCTAATGTCTCTCATCAATGGCTCATCGCATTCTGTGACACCTCATGTCGAACTATGGCACTCGCGTATCTATCTCCAAACGAGGCGATTATTTGTGAGACGATAGAACGGCTATAAAATGAAGTAATGAAACTCTTTAGAGAATTGTACGCACACTATTGTTTTGTCTGACTGAATCATCATGGCTTGAATTTATTAAGTTGAAGTTGATCAACTCGCATGCATGTCATAACATCGGCAATTCAAAATGAGTCAACTAGCAACTTTTGGCCAATCAACACCCTCCGTCATCATCCACATAACAGGTGTGATTGGCTGACACGCCGATTGCATAAAAATTACATGCACGCATGTATCGGACGTTCGCATGGAGCACACGTCGGAGTAGAATGGATAGGGCAAACAATTGTTCTGCTTCTTATTTCTAAACCGACCCTAACTTTTCGGCACAACCCTAAAATTTTTATCAGTTAGAAAAACAGATTAAAAAAAAAAAAAAAAAACTGTTGTCTTTTCTATCTTCACAAAACACCTCTCAACAACTTTTTCACGACAAAACGCTTGTATTTTTATGTTTTCCTGCTGACATTCACGTTTTTTTAAGTAACTCCCATAATATTTTCACAAATTCCCCTCACGTTTCGCTAAGGTGGTGGTGCGCAGTGGAGCCTGAAAGTTGACCCCTGATGGCGTGCTTCCGGAACCCTTGGATAGGAAAAATAACTTGCAAAGATTTTAGAATTTGTAATGTGTTTTCGTTCAGTTACTTCTTTAAAAATCTAACTCGGGAAAGGGCTTTGGAAACTATTTGTTAGTATATCAATTTATAGAAACTGACAAATTACCTGACCCAAAAGAGAAATAGCTTGCCAAAAACTGACCCATCACTTCCAAAAATCTAAAATACACGAAGAACAGTACAATGCAGCGGTCTTGTACGCAGTTGAAAAGTGATAGGATGGCCCAATCTAAAATCCCCACGGGCGGACCGCGCGAGGGTTCCGGAAGCTTGCTGCGTGACATTTTACTTCCAGGCTTCATGCTCAATGTACTGAGCAATGTTGCACTGGTACCCGCTGTACCGCGCCGTTGCCAAAGAATGCATGATGGAAATGCAGCAACCAGTCTATGCATCCCAGCCAATGTAGCGTTGTTACATTACAACCTACATGCACGCAGCTCTACAGCTGCACTTCGAAAAAACATCAATATTGCAAAAATATTTCTGCAACTGAATTCCCAGAGCTTGATCTCTTGTCTATATACTTATTTTCCGTGCTCATGAATTTAATTTGAGGTTGTACTGCTCGTATCGTGCTTGATGATTTGAAGCGAGCCTGTTTGCATCAAAATTTCCCGTTGCAACACGGTGTTTGTCGCTCTCCGTGCAACACGTACGCGCTTACCGCGCGCCCGGTAAACGGACTTGGCTCGCCAGTTTCCAGTTGTGATCACCTAACTAGCGTTGTACATACTGGTGTGCATTGTCCATTCTGAAGAATTGTCGAATGTGTATTTTTTTACATTAAGGCAAGTTTTTGTTCCTCTAGTGGCATTTTGGTAGCATTTACCCATTCAATCGGCACAAACAATTGGAAAAAAAAATGGAATTCCGACCTACACTTACGTAATAGCAAGTAGAGCTATTGTTTGCTGACCTGATACTCAGACTAGTTTAAGACCCTTATCAGGAGAATGAACGCTGAAAATTTCACCATTCGGCTTGGGCGTCATCAGTGTCCATTCTTCCTGATCCGACAACTGTGCACAGAGAGCAGGCAATTTTTTAAAATTCTGTACTAGTCAACTCCCAATCAATTCTCTTCAATCTCTCGTTTTTAGGGAGGATCATTACTTTGGATGCTAGAACATTTATTGACACTTGACGTGTTCAATGCGGGCATAAAGAGCTACCTCAAGGAAAGATCTTACAAAAATGCTAACGCCGAGCATCTGTGGCGACAACTGACTGCCGTACGTACATCTTTCTTCATAATCATGACTAAAAGTCAGTTAAACTGTGGAAGAGGCAGGGCGGAGTTGTTTTGGTGAAGTACTGGTTTGTGTGAACGAATGAATAAATTGTTCGCAAGAATTACTTAATAATTCCAACCATTTACGAAATCGTGTGAAAGCATTACTGCTTTCACACGATTTCGTAAGTGGTTTACACGATTTCGTAATTGGTTGGAATAATTAATTACTTTGGGGTAACCGTTCCCTGAATCCTCGTGGGAAGTCTACCCTGTCCCCCACCCGGGTCTTGGTTAAAACTTGATTAACGAAGCGCAAACACATTCCATAAAAGAACCCGGCCACAGCGGTGACAGATAGCTGCAGCTAGCCAACTGCACAGTAATTAACTAACTAAGGTAATTGTAGAGGTGTGAGTCATTCTTCATTGTAGGCCCAAAATGAGTTATTCCCACAAATAGTCAAACCCAACATGTTTGCTATAACAAACCGCTCTTCTAACAAACTGCTCTTCTAGGTCACACGAGGAGGAATATCTCAATAATGTTCCTCCAGTGAATTCGAAAAGCAATGACTTATCTTACGTAACAGACACATGGATGAATCCAGGAGTTTTCCGGAGGGGGGATAAGGCCGGAGATTTTTTTAAACGTCTCATTTTGGTACCGATAAGCGGAAACGATGATGAGACATTATACATGACTTACATTGTTTACAATGGTATTATTGCACTTTCTTGAAAACAGGCTGACAAAGATAAGGGTGGGCTGGATATCAAGAAGATAATGGACACGTGGACCCTTCAGCGGGGATACCCCCTTGTAACACTTAAGAGATCGACTGATGGGAGAGTAATCGAGGCCACTCAAGAGATCTTTCTCCAGCTTGGCGAAAATCTCGAGGAGGAAGAATTTGGAGATCTAGGGTAGGAGAAAATTTGACATAGGCCTATGTCGATTATATTTATGGCATAACTCTAATTTCCGTGTGAATTACTGATCACATCTATCGTCTTGGTAAAGACAGCTCTTCATTTCAAAATATTTGTTAGCTTAAAAGCACACACTAAATTACCTCGCCTTACCTTATCGTTTACTTTTTGAAACATTTTCTAATTACCCTTTCACAGATTTCTTGATACAGCATATATCCTGATCTTAATTTTCCCTTGTAATTTTCATCTCAGATTTCAACTGTTCACGTAGTTCCTTCAGTGGGCCTTTTTTTTGCATTTATGCATTTGCCAGAGTGTAAGTGGAAATACCAACGGACGGCATTAACATTAGCTGGTTATTGCGTCTGTTTAGCTTTTGTCAATCTTGGGTGGATGAATGTTGTTTTCACGACCAGCTTTGTGCATTGACAAGAGGAAGTACGGTAACGTAACGAAAAAAGTAATCACTGGAGGAGTTTGCAGCGGTCACGAATCAAACGCAAGGTGTAACTCCCCAGAGCTGGTGCGACAGAAAAAAAATGGCAACAAATTGACATAGAAAAGTTTACGCGTGTACTGAATTAAGGTGAACAAATCGTGTAGAACTTACATTTCACTGGGCATTTCAGGTGGACTTTGATGTTGGTTTTATTGTATTGTTGCCTGTAAGAGTTTCTTTTGATTAAAAGAACTGAATAGAATAGAAATGAGAATTTTGTGGACAAAATGGGTATAAGGATGCATGTATTCGTTCCGCAGTGCCTCTGCAATTACGTAATTTTGATATGATTTAATTGATTCGTCTTTGCACAATACAAACACATGCAAATACAAAGGGGAAACACAGACCTAAAGAAAAACCACGTACTGCGAAAAACAGGAACAACGCAAAACATAAAAAACAAATTTCCATTGCTATCGCAAACAAATCACCCTCATCACAAACAATAAATTTTAAGTTCAGTAATGAAAGCGTGTTAATTGTGCAATTGAGGGCCAGATACTTATTATTTTAACAAATTAAAATTCAAGTTCATAAAAACCATGAAACATTGTGAATACATAAAATTGAATAAATACCGTAATCATGACGTCTGTTCGCTCCCAAATATGTTCAGGCCTCTCTTTCTGATAAATTCTACACAGGTACAAGTGGTGGGTTCCTCTGACGTATTTGTACAAATCAGGACCTTCAGACAAGTACGACAACCCAGCAATGGATTGGTTGGACCCAAGTGTTGAAAAAAGTCAGTAATTTTTTTTTGAAATTCATTGCTGCTTATTAAATGTGTGAAAATGAGTTTATGGCTAAATTTGTGTGACTTCTTTCTGCTATTTTTACATAATTATTATCTCATCTCAGCCTCAATCCAACTGACGGGTGCGCCTTCAACAGAATGGTACTTAGCTAATGCCAAGATGACTGGTTACTACCGTGTTAACTACGATGAAACCAACTGGCAACGTCTTTTGGATCAAGCTGCTAAGGATCCCAATGTAATTACCGTTCATCATTTGAAAAAGAAATACCACAGTCTACTTCGTCTTATTTTATTCTTTCATGCCATTCGAAAACAATAGGCAATAAAACTTATGAAATGGTGAGGACTGTCACGAAGATGCCGAAGATGCGGTGTTGTAGTATAGGGGTCCCCGGGATGGAGTCCAAGTCTGAGTCATGAGTCACTAGCCTAGAAGCTGAGTTGTGAGTCTTGAGTCACTTGTCTTGCTCATTTCACCGTTGTAGAAACTGATGGGCTTTCAAGTGTGTACAACATCAAGGGGTACGCCCTACTTAAAGTTCAAAGAATTTCAAAATGGCTATGTAAACAGCTCAAGTGACACCCCTATACTTGCCTCAAACATTTAGCAAGTAAGCATGATAAATTTTGTGTATATTAATGCTCTCAGAATCCTCTATTTCAGAGGAAATTGCCTAACTTCAGATTTCCGCTAAAGAAATAAATACACACAGTATCGGGCCATTGAAAATGACTGATTCAAAAAGGTGGCCCATTCATGTGGATCCCTTAAATGACATTCTTTTTTTTATTTCTTGCTCACTAAATAATTATCATGTATGCACGAGATAAAGAAAGAAAAAAGAATTGAATGTCCTTTTGGGAGCCACGTAAATCCATCATTCTTCATTTAAGAGATGACAAGCGATATGTTGTAAAAAATAATCTCCAATGGTCATGTAGATGTGTATCCACAGTGGCGTTCCACTATACAGGCATTTCTTTATGGGAAAAATTTGCTACTTAGACTAGGATCTTAGACTTAGATCAACATCAAAACGTGACAACGCAAAATCTATCAACAAAAAGAGAAATAAGCTGACGTAATTCGACTCGAAAAATGCGTCATTAACATTTTGACTGTTTCGATATTTTGCTCTTACCTACTAAACAGGCCTTCAGCGAAGAGAACAAAATTGGGCTGTTGTACGATTCTGAAAGCCTGGCTAAAGCAGAGATCATCAGCATGGATATCTACAAGGGCTTCGCACAGAGTTTCGAAAATAATACTCTCATATCACAACAAGCTGTATTACGCACTTCCTCCTACTTTGCAAAGATGCTTACAAGACCAAGTTATGGCATGAAGCGGCGGTCATTGAGCAACCCTTCCGCAGCGGCTCAGGTACTTTCAAGAATTCACATACAACTAGTGGGCAAAAACAGTTTAGAATTACCAAGGATACAAATAGTCTGGTTTGCAATCTGCAAATTACATGTAAGTTGGCAACTCAAAAAAATCGATCTGAACAAAATTTTGGACCAATTTTTGTTATTCTCTCCGTATTTTGAAGAAACGGTGTTCAGTTACGTGTATTTCCCGTATGGAAAACTTCAAAATCTGTGTCATAATTGTCAGTACTGTCTATAGCGCATAAGCTTTGTATATTGTCACGTAACATAAACTTGGTCAAGTTGTCTTGTAATCATTAGTATTTGTTGCTTTTTGCCGAATTATATTTACATTCCGCCGGCAATAGTGATTTTGCGAGGTAGCCATTTTGCAAGGCAGTTCTTTTATTCCATATAAGCATACTCTGTGGAACAAAAGCACTTGCCTGCAAGACGGCAGCCATGCAAACCCTGTGTTAATGACTGTATCGCTTAAACCAGTTAGGCCTATTAAGAATTCCGAAGTAACCAGTGAGTTAATTATGCTATTTCTCAGACTTACATGCAACGGTTGGTGGAACCGCTGTATGTCGACTCTGGTTGGGATGAAAACTTCATGCCGGATCTACCACTTGCAAGGTATCGGTAACGGCAAAATCTTTACAATGAACACTCTCTGAGCACTTGACTGATCTCTCGACGAGGCCTCATACTCGATGGATGAGCACTACCCACATCAAAAGACTTTGCTTTTAAGGTTTTCACATTAAACCCCATATGGCTATGATTTCAAGTTTCAACTAAAGTGTGTTTTTTTCGTCATTTTCCATACTGGAAGGTATGAAACGATGGACCAGTTTGACATTACTTCAACAGCCTGTCAGTATGGCCACGAACACTGTGTTTCCAAGGCAACAGCTCTTTTTAAAGAATATGTGGAAAACCCAAAACAAAATACGTGAGTATGGAGGGCTTTTCATACAATTTCTTCGAGACGTTTGTGTTGCATGGAACGCTTTGAATCATTGTTACAGCATTGTATTTTGTTTTGTCTTGCATATCAAAGTATTCCCAAGAACTTCAGAAAAGTTGTGTACTGTAACGGCATTCGTTTCGGCGACAAAGTAGAGTGGGACTTCGCGTTCGATATGCTGCAAGCTAGCGATGATCGCTGGGAACGATCACGATGGATAAGCGCTCTCGCGTGTTCAGCGGACCACTCACGCCTCAAAAGGTACAGTCCTAAATACCTGGATCTTCAGTGTCATTGAATTGTTGGAATACAGAGGAATTCATGCTGATTTTCACTCGCTCTTAATTCACCACGTCATCATTTGGTATGCAGATATCTCCAGTCGATGTTGGATACAGCTACTTACAGTCGCCATGACGATGCACTTATATTGATGGGCGTGGCCCAAAATCCCGATGGATACGAAGTGGCCTGGGAGTTTGTACGAAACAATTGGGAGACAGTTGGCAAGATGTAAGAGAACATTTCAGCATACTTTAAACTTTAATTTCATTCTCGTCTGAATGTCGTCTCCAGAATTTACCTTTGTTTCAACATGATGTTCCTGTTTAAACATGAACAGTTTCTCATGCTTTGGAAGCCACCAAAGGGTACAGAAAGTTAGGCTAGGAAAATTTGAAAAAGACGCAAAATGCAAACATAACTTACTCTATTGCATTAATTTGCAGTAACCTGTAAATCCATTGTTGGCTTTGTCTTCTCCAGGTTTAAACGGAACAATCAACTACTGCGTGATGTCCTCGAGGAGATAACATCTAACTTCAACACTAATGAGAAACTTCAAGAAGTAAGTGATTCTTTCAGAATTCATTCTTATCAACTAGAGCTGCAGAAGCTACAGAATATGGTCGCCCCTAAAATCTCACAAAGGACTTGGTTCCAATTTTCAGTGAAATTAAATATTATTTTTTGTCGTCTCAAATGCAGTTGCAGATATGAAATTACTACACGGAGGAATAGCGTGGATGAATACTATGCTTTCAATCTGAAACTAGCAAGAACTTACGTATAGTTCTCCCCCACAGAAATGTGGGTGAGGTCTGCTATTGAATACATGTACCTACTCCAAATAGGCTTTAAATATGCAAATTCCTTTGCGTCTGATTAAATTCGGTAAAACTTCTGATTAAGCGTGGTGCGCCATCTAGTCCCATGATGCATAGCAGAATGGCCGCCATGTTCGTCCTTCTTTTCCGGTATTAAAACCGCCCGAGCCAAAAGTGGGGAGAATGGGAGGGAGCCGACTGTTTGGAGTAATGATTCAAAGCGTTCCATGCAACACAAACGTCTCGAAGAAATTGTATGAAAGGCCCTCCATACTTACGTATTTTGTTTTGGGTTTTCCACATATTCTTTGAAAAGAGCTGTTGCCTTGGAAACACAGTGTTCGTGGCCATACTGACAGGCTGTTGAAATAATGTCAAACTGGTCCATCGTTTCATACCTTCCAGTATGAAAAATGACGAAAAAAACACACTTAGCCATATGGGGTTTAATGTGAAGGAATTTGCATATTTAGCGACTGTTTGGGGTAGGTCGACAGCAGAAGACCAGTTTTTTATTTGGAGTCTTTTTAAGGGCCCCATACCCTGTGTTTTATGAAAAGCTCTTTTCATTCGTCAAATATTATTTCCCTAGTTGTTGGACTTCGGTGAGGGTCGTGATCTTGGCGCTATGAAAGTTGCATACGACTCGGCCGTTGTTACGACGAAAGTAAACATCAGATGGATGGCGAACAAGGCAGCGGAAACCGAGCAGTGGATAGCTTCACGTATCCAGTGAAAAAGATCAAGACATGCCAAAGACGGTATAAAAAGATAAGATAATGCAACAGTATGTTGCTGCATAATTTTGAAGTTCTACTTACTTTTAGCAAACCTATACGTGGAGGAGGTCTCAAAAAGTTTCGATACAGAAACGTTTATGGGGTGAAAAAAAAGATATTTGATTAAACAAATGCTGCTGTCTACGGTAAAAAATGGTACAGGACCGTGAGGGAATAATTATTACAGGCAAAACGTGTAAAGATTTTAAAGTTTCATTTTAACATTTCAATTTAGAATATTCGACACATGACAAGTGTGAAAAAATATCCAATTTCTCCAAGATTCTATTCTTTGATGCATAACAAGTTTTAATCTTAAGTAAGTCTTAATCACACTGTGAATACAAATGGTGAGTAAAATTTTTGACTCTAAAGGAAAACTTCTAGTATATACAAAAGGACAAACTGATTATAGCGTGTTAATGAGCGACACGAGCACTTTTCCAAAATTAGTCCACAGAACATGACAAAGTTGTGAAAAAAAACCACAGCTTCATTTTCCAATTACAGTGCTAAACTACCAGTTACTCAATTTTATATTGTGTAGGACTTTGATGTAGCTTTACTTTATGTAGCTGGATAGAGTTAACATGGAAATTGGTTGGTTTAACGTTTAGTAAATTACATCCACAATTCAACACCAACCCTTGTGTGCGTTTATGTTTTGCACTGATGCTTTTTGCACAGAATTAAATAGGACTAAAAAGACTTCCCAGATGGCTACTTTATGCAAAGGTTTATAACAGAAATTTGCAATTAATAAAAATTAAAAGAAGAAAATTACAGGAAATACAGGAAATGCATTTGAATAGAAATTGTACACACAGCAAACTTAATGTTACTGAGAAAACACAGAAAACGTTTGGATTAAAGTAGCTTTTAATTTTCATTGCACCTTGTAATTTCTCGACAAAAATTAATTTTCGTATATAGCAAACGGTGGGGGCGGGAAACAGGTCGTGGTACCGACCCCTCTCCTTACACACTTCTCCCTAAATGGCTTCAGCTATAGCTTTGTACATTTAGTTAGATATTTTTAATTGAAGAGCAAGATAGTGAGTAATCAGGTCAAACTTCTGGGGTTTCTAGTTTCACTAGGCTAATAAATGCTAAAAGGATGCACTTAAACTACGACAATCTTGACTATATATGTAAATACTGAACCAATCTATTCCGCTCCTGCAAAGAAACAAAACACTCCATAAATCCCTGAACTTCCACTGACCGGATGTCATCTTTTCATCAATTTCAACCAATCAATCTTGTTTATTTCCACATAACAATACAATACATATCGCAGATTAACAGCAATAAATGTGGATGGGGGCCTTTAAAAAGCAGAGCTTGTCTAGTAGTGACCCCCAGAAATTAAGTTAGATAAGGCCATATGAACAAAAATCAGTTGGTTAGAATCCAAGGCCTTTCATTTTTCAGGGGCGGGCGGGAGGTTTTCTCATTTAAGAGATTCAGTTCCAAATGACGCAGTTTATTGATGAAAATAATAATGCTCACAATAAAAAGAATCACATGCCTTTTTCAAAACTGATTTTGTTTAATTCATACAGCAAAACACGATAGCCGGCTACGGTGAACTAACTTTGCGCTCCTTTTTTCCATTTTCGTGACAACGTTCGTATCGAAATGATAGGTGGCGCGATCTGCACATAATCACAAGCATCGTTTGTGTCTGATGGCTACTCTGACATATTGTTACGCTCTTTTTACCGCCATTTAACAGGTGTGTCAAAAAAGAAAGGGTGGGGGAAACAGGCGGCTTTTTAGGGCGGGCGGGGATGCGAACCAAGTAATTTTGTACATGGCCTAACAACAACACACACATTTATAAACATAACAAATATTACAAGGGACAAAACTTGGCCAGTAAAACCCGTTAATGAATTATTACTTTTAGGTAATTAATCAGTAAGCGATTTGTATATTTGTATTTGAATAAGGACAGACTACAAATATTTTTAACGAATGATCCAGTGAATTATATAGCCTAGAGCCTTCATGCCTAACTGTATTAATTTAACAGCGAGCTTAGAACGTGAAGAGACACACCGGAAGTCTGAACATCGTCTAGTAAAGCGGTGATGAATATTTACATTTCTTGTGAACATTCAGCAAATAGATTTCTTGTGTATTAAATTGATGCATGAGGCTAGTTGGCATACTTATCCTAAATACCACCAATTTTCAACACTTTACATTTATAAAAGAGGATCACAATATTCATAAAGCGTTGCTGAATTAATTATTCGCAAAACCTTTCTGAAGTTTATGTATTCTATTTATCAAACCACAGAGGTCCCACTCAAGTATTCCATATGTTAAGTAGGGCAACACTAATGTATTAAAGTCCTTAAAATATCAGACGGAAGAGTACGTCTCAATTTACAAATTGTTCCAATATTTCTTGATATAACGGAACATATGTCGGTAATATGTGTTTTCCAGGAAAGGTTATCATAACTATAAAGTCCAAAGAATTTAACACAGTCAGTCTGGCTGATTTAAGCATTGTCAATACGAATATCTGCATTAAATAGGTGCTTCTTTCTGCAAAATATCATAAAATTAGTTTTCTTTAAATTAAGAGTTAATTTGTTTGCTTTGATCCAGGTTAGGACTTTACATAGTTCATAGTTGACAACATCAGAAAGTGTGTTTGGATCACTGTGGCAGTAAAACAGGTTACAGTCTTCGGCAAAAGGATGGACGAAGCTAAATCAGAGGAATTTCAATGTCAGTAATATACATGGTAAATAGAAGGGGCCCTAGTAGGGATCCCTGAGGTACGCCAAATGAGATTTTACAATATATCATTTCTCTTGGTATCATTTCTCGACAAATTGTTTTCGATTACATAGGTAGCTCCTAAACCACTCCAAGGCAACTCCCCTGATGCCATAATTATGTAATTTAAAACGAAGTGTGTCATGGTTAAGGGTGTCAGAGGCCTTGGAGAGGTCTAGAAATATACCAATAGTAGAAGCTGATACGTCCAGATCATTTGTGATCTTGTCAAGTAACTTAAAATTCATTATGGGACGTGAAGTTGAATGGTTCTCTCGAAATCTAAATTGATTAATTGAAACTGTTATTTCTATCTAAAAAAAATCAGTGTACGCTTATAAATCACACAGGACTTTTGAAAAAGGACTTTTGATAAAATTGGCCAGTACTTATTAATAAAAAGACGGTTACCGTTCTTGAAGACTGGGGTCACCCTCGCAATCTTCATATCCTCAGACACTACACCAGTGGAGATAGATAAATTAATGACAAATGTTCGAGGCTGAGAGACAGCGTGGATCTCAGTCTTCAACAATGTACAATCAATTTGAACAACTCCTGAAGTTTTTATTAGGTAATTCACTAACTCCATTAATGACATCTTCTGTAGCTAATGGAAAAAGGCACTATTTGGGTAGGGATTAGTTAGTCAGAAAACTTCTAGTTATTGAGAGGCATTTGATCGCAGAGATTTTTACAAACAGAATACGAACAAGTCTAATATGACTTGTTGCACAGAATATTCCCTTACTTTTATCCTCTCTTCCAATTAATTTTAATTCTTAAGTTACTCGGATATCTCCGAGATATCTTTCACCCTGACTACAAAATTATCTTCCAAACTTTGGTACTGTAAAAGATCTTTTCTGTCACATTTTTCAAGTTTGATAGTCAAATAAAGATAGGGCTCACAAATTTTCTGCTACGAAAAATAAAACCTTTTTGTTGCAAAATCCACTTTGGTATTGAAAATCTGCTAATAATGCGCAGTCTTGATAAATCCCCTACTGAAATTCGTTTAATATTAAAAACTAAACAAACCTTTAAATTAGCTGTTCTCTTATCAGCGTATGATCAGAGACAACACTGTTACAATACCTCTTAATATGTCAATCGTGTTAATATATGTACTAGCTTCTTGTGGCTGAGATACTCTCCCAATCCTACTCCCTGTTAACTCTCCATAGACAGTGCTAAATGGAAACGGATTTCACACCAAAGCGGAAACAATTTGTCTAAATTTTAAGATAACGTTCTCTGTCCACGAAAGGATTCATAACACCATAATGTCCTTTTCAAACGTGCCATTACATTTGCTCTATACCACAATTTCACTAATCATTATTTTAGCTACCAAAAATATAAATTTCAACTTCCTAAGAATGACCATCGGTGCATTCATTCTGAGGGGCAAAGGCTTAGACTCCACTCATGATATAAAATCTCATCATATGAATACTTTTGACAATGTTACTTCCCGCTCCGTTACAATTTTATATTAATCAATGATTTCCTGTGTCCTACATACATAATAACTGACAACTTGAAACACACAACTGATAATAAGGTATCTGCTTTAAAACGAGTTCACAGTATAAAGTACAGAAACGTGATCACGTGAGGGATGTCAAATCCATCTACATCATGCGTAACAGGTGCAGGGGTCAACACAAAGTCCACGAAAACAGGTGTGGGTTAAGTGTACACGACTACATTAGCCTGACTGCTTGAATCACTGTGTATTATAAAGGCTGAAAAAAACTGATCTCCAGCATTCTGTCATCGGTGATAAAACACTGGCCAAGTTCTTACTCTCACACTGATTTGTTCAGTCCTGGCATTAGCATAAAAATATTTGTCAAATGTCTCCCCAGGGTGTGTAAAATGCACATGTTGGAAGTATTTGCCGTTTCGGAAATCGTCAAAATAAATGTAGCACCACATAGCTAGGCAACTTCAAACTTGCTATTAAAAAAATTAAGCACACTACTGAAGCTTTCATGAGATTCAGTCACCAACAAAAATGTCTATGCATTAAAAAAAATTAATAATAAAAATAAAAAACTTGACAACGCGTATTAGCAAAAACAGAACCTCTACAACAGTTTACACTAAATAATGACACATACTTAACCCTTACACTCCTCAGTCCTCCAACAGGTGAAGGATTGAGGAGGGTTAGGGTTAAGGGAACCAGGAAATAGAAAGAATTCATAAATTTTACTAAAACCTTTGAAATTGCATCTTTGGGTTTCACTTAACCTTATTTTGAAGTTTTGTTTTGCAATTTTAACCCAAATTTTGTTTTTTTATGCTAATGCAATTTGCATATTCATGAACAGAACTATGATGTCATCCAAGGCAACGAACTCAATGTTTCACTGATTTGTGCACAGAAAATTTCTAGATTTTTTTGACCACGGTTATGGCAGATTTTGTTTTCTTTAGCAATTTATTCTTGCGTAAGTATATGGCAATAATCCAGCGAAAATCCTTTTCACAAACATCACTCCAAGCACGAGAGCCCTGTTCATTCAGGAAGCCCTCAGTAATGGTGGACACATCTTGCCAGCTATTGTTAAGACAAACGATCCCTGGCCAATTACTCTAAATCAAAGCACAATTCTCACACCATTACATGGGGGCTTTGCCCTGTTGTACACGAATCTCATGCCGGAATTGGTCTGTTTGGTGTGATCAAGTCTGCATTTGTGAACCAGATCCAAATATTGAGTATAAAAGAAATTTTTCACAGTAATTTTATTTTACTATGTCAATTAAGCGAGGTCTTTGTTAGGATGTTTTCCTCAGTTTGGCATCCTGACCAAAGGAATATGTAAGTAAAAAGGTGAAAGGTCGTACTGATTTACATTGTGCAAGATTCTTTTCAAAGGGTTTAACCCCTACGTGGCTCTGGCGACTGGTAACTTAATTTAAATTGGGTCACATTTGACTTCTTCGGGGTTGTACAGCAACCAAGTTGTCAAACTCAACATGACTATCTTTGGAATCAAAATACCTCTGGCATTCAGTGGTTGAACAGTACACCTCCACCAATAAAGCAAGCATTATTTAACACAAGTGACAAATCTAGGTGGGAAGGACTTCAAATCGCAGTCACAGTAAGTGTCCTAATGGCATTTTATCTGTCTTTCAAATTTTTTTTTGGTTAATTTATTGAGCTCTTTACATTTTGTTACAGTTATAAGACGTCTGTATTAAAAACTATCATATTCTGTGGATGCGGTGGGGTAGGATTTATCCCACCATGGCCACAGGTCTGCCATTAAAGTCTTTGCTGCAGTTAATATTTTTTTTACGAACCATCACCCTGATACAAGTTAGAAAAGACAAAGTCCATTTTATATTCCTAACTTTAAAGCAAAACACTAGTAAATTGCCATCTACATGTAAACACTACACAAAATACAATTAATAGTAATGCATTTCCATGCTTATACCCGCGTTTCCAAAGTTTATATCCTTAAATCAGCCTCCACAAAAATATGACACAACACAAAGTTAAATCTAAAGTAAAAAATATATAATGCTGAAAATAAAATCTTACAGAAACGCTACTTGAAGTTTTCTGTCTGATATCCAAATCTGCATAAATAATGAAACTCTTATTACTGAAATGCTCATGCGGCGACAAGTGCAATGTAAAAGGACTAAATGTATTTTAACCACTTTCATCCAGCAATACTGTGTTATTTTCCCTAGTTTGGATACTATCTTGAATGTTTAATAGTTACCACGCATGAGAGACTACAGATGTGGTTCAAAATCTGGGGTTTTTTGGTTTATAAAACAATGGCCGTTGCCAGGATTCTTTCGGGAGGGGGGGTTCCCACTTTTTCCAGGAGGGAAAAATTATGGGGAGGGCAAAGCACTCTTCAGTTAATTGACAAACAATCACTGACTGGAGGTTTGACTGGTTTTTTTTAAAGTAATTTGGCAAATTTTCTCCCCTCTCATTTTTCAAATTTCTTTGGTTTCTCTCCCCTTTTCCTGTTTTATTTTCACTTTTTGTCCAGAGGGACCAAGCAGCCCAGACAAAGATGTTGGTACAGTGGGTCTTACAAATTTTTAAGTAAACCTCACCAAGTCCCTGCATGACAGCAAGGCACCTGAAGATACAGTTACACACAGGTGCCATACATCATACACTTCAATTAACTTTAATAGGGTCAATGACCTCCGAGGCAAGGGTCTACAGGCAAGCAATGTGGAAATATTTTGAAGTCCAAAGAAAATAATATTAACTGTAGGGATACCAGACTTGTGCAAAAGGCCACATCAATAAACAGAAGACTCTATAGTTTGTTGAAGACTCAATCTTTACAAGTGCACAACACAGAAAACAAGCATTTCACCCAATCAAGTAACAGAACTGTCAAAAATCAGCAATACCGGCAATTCACAATAGTGCATTTCCAAGAGTTTGCAACGCTAACCACAATGCACGAAATCTGTTGACCCTTTTCAAACGCCCATTGGGTGAGAGATTTCGCACATCGTGATTGGCGAATGCTTTGTAAACTCTTGGAAGCACACAATTGTGAATCACCCGTATTATTTGTAAATACTACTATTTGTACATCTGTTAACCCTTCTTTGGTTAGAAAGTGCATAAATTTCCCAATTTTATGAAGAAAGGTCGTTAATGTACTCCACACACTAGTATATAGTTTTTATATTGTTTATAACAAGCTATTACTTTTCTACTTCTAGGAGTCAACAACAGCACCAGAATGATTCCTTAGCTTATGAAAGCATCTAGCACTTGAACAATTGATGTACATATCAAGTCAAATCTGTTTCAAATGCGAATGACAAAAAAGCCCCACATGATGAGGTTCTATGCATTCACTTTATCTAAGAAGAAGGGCAAACTAATCCCATGAGAGCGCTGTGTAGCTCACTGAGTAGGCAAGCAAAGGAATTCCATGGCAAGTATACTAACAATTGTGGGAATAACAAGTCAAACACTGAAGAGCTTCAATTTTCAACTTGATGAGCACAAAACTACAGCAAAAGTGTACTCATCTATATTTCTCTTTGAGTCTTTGATTACTTAGGTGCATAACTAATATCAGACTGCATAATGTAATAGTTCCTTGTCATTTCTATGCACAGAATCTAAATCGTCTGACCATTCTTATACACAAAGGCCTATTCCACTCAGATGTACCCATTTTGGTTGGCAAAACCTAGCACATGATTCTTTACAGGCACATATTTCCCAGGTATTTCATTCAACCTGTCCCAAAACAATTAGCTAGAAATCTATGGCCTCTGACCTATGACACCCTGATCCTTACTTATCTTTTGAAATAAAAGAGTGGTTCCTTGCCAATGAACAGGAATCCTCCTTGTACATGTTACTGAAGACACTGGTAGGGAATACTGGCAAGATCTAATCGGAATCCGCAGGCTTCAGAATGTACCTATTCACAGACAAGCAAAAGAAAATAACAGAAGACCTGCAGCATGGAATGGAAACTACAAAGCTATGGCAAGTTTTACCCTTAAACAAAAGCAGTTGGATATCCATGATGGTATCATTTTGTCACTATCTGGTCATGATTCTTAAAACATTTTTAGTATATTTAACGCAGTACAGTACAATGCTGCTATACCAAACACTGATGTGTAGAACAAATGGGTATACCAAACATGCCCTTGGCTCCTTAATTTTCTGTGCACTTAAACTAAATATTGGAAATTTGCTTTACATAAAAAAGAATATTTAGAGCTAATGATGATATCTCAAACAAGGCTTCAGAAAAATCTTACTCAAGAAGGAACAACAATCAACATGTGACACAGTCCGTAGGGTTCGTAGGTACATATTTATCTGTGTACAGGCAGCCATGTAGACTGCCCTCTTATTAAGAATCTGATGCAAAAATCTTGCATGTTATTGCAACAAAGACAAGGATGTTTTACACTGATAAAAACATTGAATGAAATGAGAAAAATACATACACACACAGATGGATTAGCTCTTGCAATTGAACTTGCAGAGATCTTCATTAAATATTTGGCTAGTTTCAATCATTTCCAATAATGCTTGCCGACTCCTGTTGCTGACTTCTGTCATACATGTACATGTCCATCATTATGTGCTATAGAATGGTTCCTAGCCCTTTTATTACAATTCCAATTTAGCAGCGGACACCAGTGTCACCGTACTGCATGTCTGCATGAGTAACAACTCAATCAATGGAAACAATTACTGGGAACTGGATTCCATATCATTATTGCACTTCCATTGAGAACTGCCCTTAAAGGTGAAATATGGAAGGAAATGAACATACATTGAAAAAATGAGCATGTAGACATTCTGTAATATGCCCTATATAAGAACTGACGTTTATTATTATTATTTTTTAACTTGATTTTTTGTGTCAGTAGTGTTGGCCCAAAAATTTTCACGTAGAAGCATTTGTAAGGCAAGCCCAATATGTTGAATGGGCCAGAGTAGGGAACAGGTGCATAGGTGACTAAACGTCACTATGATGATGGCTATACCAAGCATTTTGCATGGAACGTATAGTGTCATGGTCTTTGTAGCAGCATTGTACTGTACCTGGTTTACAAAACTGTAGTCAATAGCACAACAGTGATGGAAAAAGTTACTTCATTCTGACAGCTCCATGAAATTTGTAACACACCTTAAAGACCAATTCCAACGATGCTAACTTTTTAATATTTAATCCTATTCAGAAGAGTCTAACAAGAGTGGCTCATATCAATATCTCCCTTGCAATACACATTCTTGTGTTAATAAAACACAGTTTTTGTACCCATTTTTCCTGCGAGTCCAGTCTGGTATTGTAAAACTGGAAATGTCATCACAACTCATTAGCATCTAGTGAATATTGATTTTTGTGATGATGTATTACCGTGGAGAGAGAATACCACAGTGCATGCACTTTAGGTAATGCTCTCATTCTTCGGAAACAGGAAGAATTTCAATCTTGGTTCTGTTGCAGAATTTCTCGTACATCTACCAATGACACAGCATTATTGTAAATCATGAAGAAAGGAGCGCAAACTCTCAATGGAATAGAGATAATGCGGCACAGTACCAGTAGACCCAGCACACAGATCGATCTCCATTATGCGCCGCACATACATGAAGTTCCATGTTCATGTACATTTTTCAATGTTTTCTCCGATATTACATCATACAAATTTTGTTTCTCAACAGTGTCGCCAGCGGTCAGATTGTGGAAATTTTTCACAAAACTCAAAGACACCGTTCAAAAGTTTAGGCAAAATTACAAAAAAATACAGACGCAATGATTCATTAAAAACTTAACACAATGATAGTTTGTTTTCAACTGTTAAAACCGTTGGAGTTGGTCTTTAACAAAATAAGTTACAAATCATCAGAAATGCTACAGGCCTTAGAAAATTTGCAAAATGGAAATCACAGATGAACATTTCATCTTAATTTTCATCTTCATTCTGTGTGGAACACACAATGGGCGACGCAAAGGGTGACAAGTGACCCCCCCTCGGCCCCCCTCACAATGCCAATGAAAGTGAGTACACGTAAGTGATACATGCACCTGAGGTGCACTTCCTAGGATCTGGTCACAACAGGTGTTTTAATGCCCGATATTTCAGGTCAGGTCTCAAATGAGCCTCAGTCACAAGTTTCTTCTTACAGTTTTTCTTTTTCTTTAAGTTTTTCTGAGCTAATATAAAGTATCTTTGACTAAGACTCAAAGATTTCACAACAGTTTCAACATCAATCAAATAACTGGACAAAACCCAAATGTACTATGCATTCAGCCCATATCAGAAAATGAAAATCCCAGAGTTAACTTACCAGTCTGTTGTTGCTTTACTGATGTCCAACTCGCTGAGCTTAATTTCAACCTGGAAAGGGTAAAGAGGAAATGAAATTACAGTAAATAAATTAAACCAAATTGACAATAAATCTTTGAAATTCCAAAGGTTTATTGGCAGATACTCCGAACTGAATTTTCTGACCAATCCAATCAAAATCAAGGGGAATATATGGGGAAAGATTTTGACAAGTTGTTGTATGGGAAACGGCAACAAAATTTACTTAGTCATCATTTCAAAATTCCTATGGGTTGACTATCGGACAGAGCCATCCGACCTAACAGTGACTTGTGTTGAGTGAATAGAGGAGGGGGTGTTGCACCACTGGAACTACATAGCCTTGGGAGTAATGCAATGTAAAGGCAATTATCACTTAGAATTGGCCTCTTGAGAACACTTAACCTGATAGCCAACCGATAATAAATATATCGGTCAGACCATTCTGTCCAACACCTACCAAATAAGCATTTTGAAATGGTGCCCTAGAAAGTGAAGTGTAATTTAGAACCATCTATTCTCAAGAACCTGATACACAGATCAAAGTAAAGTGCTAATGACCTCATAAATTGAATTTCCCATGACCAAAGTATATTGGAGGGTCATTAATCACAAAAAATAACTGCCCAAGCATAGGGTCTGATAACTTTCATTATATTTTTGTCCGGTAGGAAAACAATTATTGGCAGATCATGCACTTGAGGAACTAACCTGGCCAATCACAGGGTCTGACAGAGAGATAAACCGGGAGCTGTCTTTGACCATAACCTGCAGTGTCCTAGCACTCACTTCCTCTGCTCCAATCAAATACTCCAATCTGTTGAAGGAGAAAAAATGAAAAGCTGAGCTGATGCTATCTTAAAAAAACAATATTGAAAATCAAGTCATTCAAAACAAAATCCAATGTTATCATTACTACTAAATATACATGTAAATCTCCTTACGTTTCATCATAGACTGGCTCATGGGCATCTTTCACTTCCTTTGTCTTGCGTTTGCCAGACTTAGACTTGTCTGGAAGTAGGTACGTTTTGACATATGTGTCGGGCGGATCATCTGACCCATGACGCTTGATGTTTCTATAAGATTGATAAACACACCAAAAAATATATTCATAATCAAGTGTCGGCCATTTCCTAAATATGGTGATCTTGGTCAAAGTTCATGGTACAGCTCCACACATGGTATTTTGTTTATACAAGGCTAATTCTCATGTTAAAATGTCTTTATGCTTGCATATAGTTTGAGTTTTCTGTTGTTGCCTTGCTGCTGTATTTGAAAGAAATTCTGCCTCTGAAGTTTACATGCTTTTTGCTGTGCTTACTGCTTTGAAGTCTGAAGTGGACTAGGGCTGTGGTTGGGGCCATCATGAAGTTCTTTCATAAAGACAGTCATGAGCCTAAGCATAAGTAGCAGGTTCGATTTCTCCCAAACAGCAAGAATGGTTCAGTACTTACAATCCCTTGTGCACAACCACCACCAATCGATTCCTGGGGGCACTGTATCGAAGGGTAACCTGCAACTTTCCAAATGGGGCATCTTGAGTCTCTCTTTAAGAAAACATTCAACCAGTCAAAACAACAAATTAAGGGCATGACATTCTCATGCTCACAAGTGACAAATTTTTTGGCTGTAATCTTGGTCTTAGGAAGTGCTAAGCAAGACAGTTATTAGATATGTCAAGTTAGGAAGTGCTAGGCAGGAAGGTTATTAGCTATGTCATGTGCTTAAAACCTCCTGGCATCAAATCACAAACAATATACATCTCTTTGACAGTTAGGCTGGTGACCTGTTTCACTAAGCAAATACTTTCTGAGTTTAGCTTCTGTCCTTCGTAGCACCAGGTAGGTATTTTCTGGTTTCCTATACTCAGTCTTGGTTCTTATCTTCAACATCTAAACTGACTTAAACTTAAATTATACTGTTCAAGACACCCAAGAATGTAAAATACGTTTCATTCATTGAAGAAGAGTCTACAGATGCAAAAACAAGTGTGGCTAAGAAACTGTCATCACATAGACCCTTTAAGGAGCTTGAAATGTGACTGAAGACAGGGACGAACTGGAGATTTGAGGGAAAAAAAGCCTTCTCACTTTGAGTGCTGCACCAGTCGCTTCCTCAGCTCAGTGTCACTGACAGGCTGGGCCTCCTCAGGGCTGGAAGCCAAAGACATAGTGTCTGGCTGACTGGACGGTACATCTCCCTGAGGTCCTAGGGGCACCGGTTCATCCACCGAGCTCTCCTTGAAAACAGGGGAGTACTGCCGCTGGGGTTTCAGTTCTGGACTGTCACTACTTGCTTCGTCAACATCCACACTCACCTCTGACAACTGCATTATGAAAAAATTTATGCAAATTAATAAATTTGTTTTAATACACCTCATAAAATCATTCATAGGCAAATCGACAAAATAACAAATTTCAGGTCAACATACAATTTGTTTCTGAGCAGCTAAGTTCCACGTGTCTGGCAAGAACCACAACAGACAGGTTCCGTAAAGACTGCATGCCACACACTACACATCTACAAGGCGGGTTCCAGGTACACACTACCACATAGCAGCCAGCAGGATACTCACTAGGATGACGTCCCTTGGCCATGTACCAGTTGTTCCTTCCAAATAAGTGGCAAAATTGGCCACTGAAATGTTTCATCTTACTCATGAATATTTATGAGGTGTAGTAAAAAGAAATGCAAATTTGCCCCCTTACCAAAACAGCTCTTGGACTGGCAACTTTGACAGCCTTTTTACGCTCCAAACCCTGCAAAGCAAAAAGCAAACTAAAAATTACTCATTAGTCTGAATTCACTAACCCAGTCACTAACACTAAACTCTCCAAGTTTACTGAAGGGATAGTGCCAAGGAGTAACCCACCTTCATTAACACATTGACTGCCAACTATGAGTGTACTCATTATCACAGGTGTACTGGATTCTGCCACTACGATATACCAGGCAAGATATGGGACGGAGGGGTACCCCCCTTACCTGTCCAATCCCTATACACACTCTAGACTATTGTTACCTTACACATCCCCCTTAGATGTCTGTAAAGAATTCCTGAGATTCTGATCAACAATGACCAACACAAAGACGGGGGGGTTCTCTCTGTCCCATATCTTGCTTCAAATGCACTACGAGTATACTCCTAGGAAATGAAAGGCTGTTGTAATGGAAATTGCATACACTGGCATCACCACAGAACACAACAAATACGCTACTGGCAGTGTGGAGGACATACATTTGTAAAATTGCTCATGTTCAAACAGACTAATGAAAGGAACCTATTCAATATACGGGCATGCGTAGAACGCTTGGCAAATGGGAACATCCCTTTGAAATCATGCACGGCAGTCAACATGTTAAAGAGACAGAACCTCATGGAAGTCTTTTAGTTCCTGATAGAATAACGTGGAAATACAAGCCAACTTGGAGCAATAGTTTGTACAGAAAAGTAGTATTAAGCAATACTTTCATGCAGATGCTGTAATCAATTTCAATGAACATTTCTGCAGTAAACGTGAGGAAAGCAATCAGGATAAAATGAAAACAGGAGAAGGGGCATTGGTCTCATAAGACCTATTTGAACTTTAACTGGCTTTTGTTATATTTTGCAAGTTCGTGAATTGGTGTTTATAAGGGTTTTTTTTGCTGAGCTCTGTCTGTCCAGGCCACATACACAATTTAATCTATGAACAATCCTACATATGCTGTAGATGTTGAATTTTGAGAGAGCAATATTGCAATAAAGTGCCATTTCAAAGTCTTATCTCATCAGCTCACAATGTTTGATGCTGACATTGAAGAAACGAAAAAACCTGAAGCCAATTTTGGAGAGAAATCGCTGTTAGCTTGTGTGAGCTGTAAAACTTCCAATTCTTTGCTGATTGTTTTGCTTTTAGGAGTGGCAACTTACTCTCAGACATATCTTGAGGGTCACCATACTATGTGGTCCAGACCCATCCAGCTTAAACGGCTGCTCCAAGGCTAGGTTGGGGGCCATTAGTATGTTCTTAATGGGCAACATCAAGAGTCCAATGCATCGGTCTTTCCTCTTATCCATCACCTACAAATAAAATAGAGACAATTACAAGCTCAACTTGACTAAAAACATAAATCAGTCAAAGTTTGATTTGGGACCTTTCTGTACATGAGTTGAAGGCTGACTCGGATATATACAGTCCTAGTTCAATTAAAATTTGAGAGGAGCAGACGGTTTGATAAATCTGTCTTTATTTTGGACATGACAATTTAAATAATGTGATGTGAGGTTCCCCAATGAAGAAATACCACTATCAAATAATTTGTGTACACTACATTTAGCAACTCTTTCAAAAAAAAAGTACACTGGTTCTCTAGAGATCAGGGAAATGAAGTCAAAGACTCTCCACCAGTACTAAACTGCCAAATTAAATGACTAAGGACAGGATATTTGTTAAAGGGCAATACGTATACACTTTGGAACATGCAAAGTAATGATCCTTGTACTTTTTAAGCATTCTATGGATATATATATTTTCATCTGAACTCAGAATAAGTACTTCTAGTTTCAGGTTCTGCAGACTTGGGCTCTGAATCAGGAAATTGAAGACCTCCTCCCAGACAGGAGCTAGTGTCTCATTTTGAACCTAGGAGAGTTCAAGGATACAAACTACACATCAGCAACAACATTCAACAGCAGTCATTTCTACAAAGACAAATTAAATGATTTAATAACATTCAAATGTACTGCATTATGTAAAATAAACACAGACATCAATGATGCAAAATGTGAAAGCGAATGAACCTGTTCAGTATTTGAAAAACACAATGTCATTTGAAAAAAAAGACTAGACAACAAACCAGTTCAAGGTACAGCTGCTCTAATTGGGTCAACTTTGTGTCCACATTATAGCATCCTTGACTGACTTTTGAGCACAGGCCTCTCCACTACCAAACTCAAGGTGACCAACCTGACTAGTCTTGCTGTCCCGTCCAACAATCATGTTGACATAGGGATGAGGAAGTGATGAGGAGCGTCTGGAGACCTGAGTAAACAAGTATGAGAGTATGACAACTTGAAAAGCAAGCAGGCTAAAATCTGTATTATATTGCTGAAAATAATACAATATTTCTAATCATTCATAGGGTTTCGTACCGGAAGATTCTTTGCTGAATCCAGCTTGACAACCAAAATGGCAGCTGACATGGAGGACTCATCTTCATCACTGTCTTCCTCCTCTTCCTTGTTCTTTGCAATCATGCTCATGCGCTGCATTCACACCAAAAAAACAGATGGAGTTGATTTGGTAACTGGAATGTGTTGCCTTGATGATGGTTCTCTCAAAAGAGGTGCATTCTCTTGGAATGGGTAAAGGTCTACAATTATTGAAACTCCAGCTATAAAAGTGTAAATACCAACAACCCAGTACTCAAACCAGAACTCAGAGATCCGTGAGTTATAGTTCGAGTAACAGTGCACCAAACAGTGAGTGTGAGAAATGCACACTGTACATTTTAATAAGAAAATTGATGCTTCGATGAAAATCCAAAACAAAGCTCACACAGAATACAACCCCCCCCCAAAAAAATGCACTAACTGATTCAGGTTTATTTATGATCATTGTGTCATTGCAAGGAGATTACTGCCAATAGTTTCTAAAATGGACCAATCAAGAAGAATCTATATTCCTGTTCAGTGTTTATCTTTGTCACAATCACTTAAAAAGGTCATGCTTATCTTTTTCACAAGTGCAGCTTCTTGTTTCAAGACTAAGAACACCAACAACAATCCAGCAGATTCTGAAATGATTTCCCATTTAAAGAAAAAAAACTTTTGTGTTTCATAATATCCTGAATTCTATGTTGACAATCTGAGCACTGCTATTTAATTACAACTTCTTTTTTCAACTAGTGCATCATGTTGTGGACAAAGATGGGCTTCAAGATTCAAGTTAAGCTTCAAACTACCACAATGTGTAGGTTTTACAGCAAATCTAGAAAGTGTGCACATAATTTGGTCCATTCCTAATGCTTTACATCCCCTCCTTCACACACTCCATATGGTTTTCTCTGAAAAACTGAACTCCATTTAATCTATTCATCTCAAAGTGTTTAACGGGTAAAACTGTAAAGTCACACACTAGCTTCAAAAGATCTTATCATTGCCCCCGATCACCACCAGGCATGCAATAACCCCAAATCATGCTCCTACGACAGTCAAACACCGAGTTTATTCAAGTCAACATAGCTGTGCTGGCAAAGCTGTCTATTAACAGCAGACAAGAATCACACCTCAATAATTTCTCTTTGACCAAAAATTCAAATAATTCTGTTTCATGATTTACATATGCAAAGAATGACTGCAAGACAGAGATTGGGTGTTCTGTTGACTTGAATGGAACATTCAAATCTGTCCCTGAACAAAACTATTCTTTTCACTGCACGATTGTTTCTTTTCAGAAAGTTCTTCATCAGTTAAGAGAACGACTGATGTTTCATATTTATCATTAGCCATCCCCTATTTTGTGTAAACAACTGTATTACAGCACCTAACTGTACATACCATTAGCATACAATTTTGTTTGACCAAAATGATCTCCTGCATAGTTCTGTTGGCACTGTGCACCATCCAATGGTCTGAATATTCATTGACATCTGCAATTCACCAAATGGTTTCTGCAGGTAATTTCCCATTCACTGGTTTGGGAATGAAAAATAACTACTGTTTCAGTTTAGGAGAAAAACCCGGTAATGGCTTCAGTCGCATACAAATTTGAAAATTGCTTTGTGATTTGTGCTACGTCATGACTTCCCCAGGCATTAATTAATCCTCCAGTGCGAAAGAGGCATTCTTGGCACAACTGTCCTATTAGTCAAAATCAGTCAAGTGACATATGATATGTCTATGTACTGTAGAGGGAGAAGTTGAAGGAATTTTGGACTGTCTGTGACCGTTACAGTAAATGGAGGATTAATCAAAGTGTTAGAGGGTGAATGTGCCATCTGGTGATTGCCATGGTAACATGCATCCCTACCTCCTCCATTGCTTCATCATGTTCCTCTTGGAGTTCCATCTCAAGCTGAATGTTCAGCAGCAGCACATACCAACAGGAATTTGTCCATTATTGGCATATTTGGATAAGTTGGTCATTTTGTCATTCGCAAAATCTCATCAAATCCTCTTTTTAGATTGCATCTATTCATTTTTTGGGGGGCTGCGTAAAGTTCTCTGACACTAGACAAAACAAACAGCTCCTTCAAAAATGAATCTTGTTGGATGATCCAGGTTTTTTTTAATCATTCTGTTAAAGGTGGTGTACACCATTGGTTTTTTGTCTTAATTTCACAAGATTGGCTGATTACAGTGTATAATATTCACTCACTTGTTTCATGTTTGAATCAACTGCTTTGTGAAAAATCCAGAAGAACAGCACGGCATTTTCAACTCTTAAATTGAAGGCCATGTAGTTTATCTTGCGTAAAATCTATGGATTGTAGGGCATTCGTAGTGCAAGCGAACATCGTCCACAGGGTCAGGGTGGGAAACAAGCATGATAAGTTCTCATTCCCTTAAGAAAGGAGCTGTTTTCAACAGCTAGGAGTAATCAGTGAATTTACCTTGGAGTAATGCGTCTCTTCGACAATGTAGCATTGCGGATTCATGAAAAACTTTATCCAGAAACACAGCAGTGACATGTGTCAGTGACATCAAAACGAATAGGCCTATATGATAATGCGCATGTGCGCACGATTGTGCTTAAAACGGCACTTTCATGTCAGTTCACACGCGTCGATGAAAGTCTAAAACTCCATTCATAGTCGAGTCATTATTAAATATGACCGAAAAAGAATTATGTCTTAAAACACGGGAGGATTAACGTGTGGAAATCGTACTTTTTGTTGACGACAATCATCCCGCTTGGAAACAGCTGCTATATTGGATCATACCATTATTATATAGGGGTGATTTTGAATTCACAAAGTTTTCCCGTTAAAAAAATTTCCTTAAATAAAATTCAACTTCACACTGATCCAATTTATTTTCTACTTTATGCCTGACACACGGGTTTCTATATTTCAGTTCACAGTGCTTTTGGTGAAAGAACGTTGGGGTATATTTTAGCTGCTTCTAGGTTTATCCGTTCATTAATGGAAACTCCCACAACATCTGCAAACACTACATAAGAAAATTTGCGCCTGCTAAAGGATGTGATGTGGGAAGTGAAATGAACTCTTGTTACGATGGTTGGCCAACCATCATAAAAAAGGAAAACAAAATTCTTGTTTTCTCGCAAACTACTGCATTCTGAGTGGAAATATTTGACAGACTGATTGAGGCTGTCATGGACTTTCTTTCAAGTAAGGTATTTCAGGATTATATGGTAGTCCGATTTTCAGGATTTTACCAATGGTGTACACCACCTTTAACAATAATAATATTTCTTTCACCAAGAGCTCTTTTCTTAATCGCAGCTGATGCATGCGCAAGTTGCTGCAGGTTCAAAGAAAACTTCAGCACTGTGTTACGTCGTTTTTACCTCATATATTGCCTTGGTGGAGTCTGTGAGGGTTAACCATGACAGCTCCAAGTGAATATCTCCCTGCTTGATTTCTTGCAAGGGAAGCCACTGCAATCAAAGCATACAAAACAAGCCCAAGTTACAGATGGTAGGAGTTAACAAATGGTAGGAGTTAACAAATCTATTTTAATGAAGTTGAACAAAAAAACCCAGCAGAATTTGAAGAGTTCAACAATGATATTGGGGAAAGCTTGCAATGTATGACGTGTTACCTTTGGCCCAATGAAGAGCACAAGAGGTTCCCGGTAAATCACAGACACAAACGCAACACAGTTTCAACAGAAAGGGAATTACTAGTTAGTATAGACCTATGTAAAACATGGAAGACGTTTTGATTACAGCATAAGTGAACCTACATGTAAATAGTTTACACTTTGTGGACTGCTCACAAGCAGTCTGGTGCCCTGTCCTATTAACAAATAAAAGCAGGTTGCTTGGCAAAATACACACTCACCGCATCCAGGTGACCTGCGTCAGCAACATGTTGCACATTCAAGCTCAACCTGCAAGACATACAGACTACAGTCAAATTCTTTTTCATTGTAATGCTTGGGCAATTCCATTGTTTTTCACCTCATACCTATCCTCCTCATAGGTACAACTGTGCATACTCAAACGCGAGTCTAATGTAGGAAAGCACTGGCATAGATTAATATCATATTAAGATTACTGACCAGAATTAACATCTGACTGAGCAGTAATTATGTCTTACAAAAATTTTGGTTTGGTACCCACTACTCATATTGGCTCAAACCAGCGAGCCAACCCTAGCAAGCTTAGTGGTCAAGTAGCAAGATGTTTACTTCAGCAAGAGGAAGGTCATGATGGGTTCAAGTCCCACCTGAGTTAACTTACACATATAAATTTTTTTTCACTAGCCCTTGGATAACACTGATGAACATATAGTGTTTCTACATTGTTGTCAGTAAAGGGCAAATCACCAAATATAAAAGATTATTTACGTTCCCAAGAAGTCATCTTTTCCAGGTCCTTCATCTTTGTCCCAGACATCAATATCCATTGTCTGGCCATGACTTTGGTACACAATGGCCTGAAATGTAAGTACTCACTTTGATAATCAGGTAAATGCCAATCATAATGTACAACTTTTAACATGCATGACAAGATCTTATCTTTGGGTTACATAAACTTTGGTGACTAAAATAATTAAGAGAAGAAATGCTTGATCTAGGGTACAATAAATACATAAATAAAAACTCTACAAAATCTATTCATAAAAAATAATAATGGTTTTAGCTTCATAATATGTTGTAATTTCTTCCGTTTCTGTCACACAAATCATTGAAACTAAATGTAATGTTTAACAGTCTACACAGTCTTTAAGTTGAGTCACAAACAAAGATTTACATTTGAACTGAGTCTGACACAGTAATCCTAACAACTTACTGATTGAGTGTTTAAGATATCTCCAAAACAAGCAGATGGATGTGGGTTAAAGTTCTAACAGAGGCAGCTTTTGAAGTTATTCTTGCAAGCTCTTAAACAGCATTTAATTATAAGACTACAGTACAAATTAAAGTTTTGTCACCAAAAGGCAAACCTAATTATTAATCCTAAACACGTCAATTCCAGCAAGATTCTTTGTGCTTAACGCTAAACTTTGAGGATAGGGACAACGGTGCCACAGATTACGCGCAATTCTTCCGAAGCTCCCCTTACCTCAAAGTATTTGTCCCAGACTGGGGTGAGTGTTTTGCTGATTGCTTTGGTCTTGAACTTTTGGGAGCCAACTGTAATTTGCAACAAAGGAATCAAATTTAAATCAGGTCTTCTGGAGAAGATTTAAATGACATTACAGTGAGACATGAGAATCTTCTGCAAATGACTCTAAGACGTCAACATTTCTGATCTCCTTCTGAGTAAGGCAAAGTGGCTGTCATACGCTGTAGCTGTCCTTTTCAAAAGTTATGATTTTTGGCTGAAATTCATGCAGTGCATGGGGCCAGTTCCTCGAGGAACAAAAGCAGCTATGACTCATTTTGCCTGTATTACTCACTTACCTCTGACAATGCAGTATGGGTCTGATTTGCCTTTAGACAGTAGCGCCAAATCTTTGGCAACAAGATTCTTGGCTTCAATAACATGAATGCGCAGAACTCCCTGTCAAGAGAATAAAATTGTTAAATGTCATTCTTACTGTGACATCCATCAACAAACAAATGGCTCCATTTAGGGGGTTCGGCTGTAAGGTCTTTAAAACAATCTTTTAAGATGCACTTTGCATTGGAGAGATGTTAAGTTTAATTACACATTTCGCCCTGACACTAAGGTATAGTCACAAACACTGTATACTCAGAGCTTGTTTGAGACCTTATGAAAAAATTAAGAAGCTTACTTGGGTGGGACTCAAACCCACGACCTCCTGCTTACTAGTGCAGACATCTTAACCACTCAACCACCGAGCTTGGCGGGGTCGGCTGGCCAGTCTGAGTCAGATTTAGCAGCGGGTACCACCAACCATTTCAATATGTACTTTGCATCAGAGAGATGTTCATTTTCAATACAGGTTTTGCCCTGAAAACAATCCTTTTTTAAGGTTGTTTAATTGCTGGTAGTTAGAGAGCTCTCAGAAAGCTATACGTACAGGCCAACATGTGCCCAGTAAAGCTTATATGTATGAAAACTGGTTGTGCATACTACTGTATATGCATTCAAACATGCGTCAGTCTCATGGGGAGATCATTGCCAGGTCACCACATAACCTCTTTTGGTCATGCATGGTACCCATGTAAAGTGCAACATGTTTATGTCAAAGATTCCAGCTTCAGCCCATTTTCTTTGCTCAAATATTGCATTCTCACTCAAGACTTGAATGACCAGACTAACATACATGTAGAGAAATAGCAGCAGATAAGAATATTCTACCATTAGGTCTTGCTGGTTACAACATTTTATTACCAAAATAAAAAGAGGAAATCTATCTCCATCTTAAAGATCTACTTAATCTGCTGGCCAAAAAGACATTACCTGTGGCATAGGGTACTTAAGACTGCTTATGTCCACATCATCGATGAGCTTGATGGGCAGTCGGTTAGGCAAAACCAGAAAGTTGGCAAGCTGATCTTCTAAAATAGAGTGTAGAATACCACTGCAATACAGAATGCAGGAAAATGAAGATAAGACAAAGAATGTCATCCTAAACTGCCGAAAGAAGATTTTGGGTTGTGTATGCCCAGTCACCAAAAGGAAGAGTGGTCATAGATACTGAATTTTTAATTGGTCGCAAAATGATCACGTGATATGCTACAAGCGCACATGTGATATTTACGCATTGAGCGCACTGGCGATGTTGCCAGGTTGCAAAAAATAATGGATAAAGGTGATTTTTCCCACAGTTGATGTATCTTGTCCACTGCGTTGTAATTGTGTAATCTTGTGTAGGAGGATGGATAACTGTTAGTGGTGCTACGCATTAATTATTACAGGAGATGTTCTCTGTATGGGGGACACTGAAGCACTGTGTGGGTCAAGCTATGCCTTATGATTCCCAGGTTTCTTTCCT